GCAGAGAACAGGACGTGACTCAAAACATTGCGCTGAGCTGTTAAAAAAGTTTAAAGGTGACAACTATAATGAGAAGTATACTGTATATACATAGCAGTGGATGATCGAGTTGTTTGTGGTAATGTGCTTTTGTTTGTGTCATCTGTCACTTTAGATTGTGCGCTTATTAATGCAGAGTATTCTGATTGGTTTTTCTATGCTTTTATGTTTTTTTTTTTCAGATTAAATTGATCAACTTTTTTCTGATTTGTCATTAAAATTGGCTTCAAATTTGGTTTATATTTAGCACTATTTTTAGAATCATGTCTTTATTGATAACGTTTCTACTTTTAATGGGCAAAAAAAATTTACAAACAAAGAAAATTTACTCAAAGAAATCTTTTAAAAGGTGGGTAATTATAAAAAAAGATAAATTAATATTGTTTTAACTATTATAGAAAATGTGCATTATTGTATTAAAACTGCTATTTATTTTTACAAATAGTATCTATCATTATGGTTATATCTGTAATGAGTCTTAATTACAGCAAAAAATAAGGTCAAGAATCTTGATGTTAGATCAGAGTTTCTGCAGTCATGTCAAAGCGGTAACTAAATCAGCATACTATCATGTCAAAAACATTGCAAGACTTATAGATGCTTTGTTTCCAGTAAGGACTTAGAGAAACTTGTTCATGCTTTTATCACCAGCAGAGTGGATTACTGTAATGGACTCCTCACCGGCCTTCCCCAAAAGACAGTCAAACAGTTGCTGCTCGTCTAGAACGCTGCTGCCAGGAAACACTTGTCTTCACACCTATCCTCAGGTCTTTACACTGGCTCCCAGTTACATTCAGAATAGATTTTAATGTATTATTACTGGTCTATAAATCACTAAATGGCCTAGGACCTCATACATTACAGATATGCTCACTGGATGCAAACCTAACAGATCCCTCAGATCATTAGAATCAAATAAATTAGAAATTCCAAGAGTTCAGTCAAAGCAAGGTGAATCCGCCTGTAGCTACTTACCTTGCCTTTATTATAACAAATAGCTAGCGATAGCATATGTCATTTAAAATGTAAAATTAAAGTAACTTATTTAAACTGAATCATTATTATTGTATATAAATATAGTTATTATTTAATATTAACCAAATTGTATATTTTGAGCCTGCAGTCTTGTTTTGTATATATTTTTTATTCATACTCACTATATTTTGTCAGCACAACTGGCTAAAGGCCAAATAAATAAAAAGCAATAACAAACCTGAGAGCCATTATGAAAATTGATGCGAAAAACAAAGAGATAGAATTGAATTTTTATATCCATTTATCTTGATTCAGCTAATTTGACCAGAATGTTAATAGCCTGAAATGGGAGACAACATCTGGTGCTTAATATATTCAGTCATAAATCATTATTACCAAAGAAAATGTGTCCAGCATTTTGCAATTGACATTGTATCTTGTATGTAAATATCCCATTCAGACAGACTATATGTCACTATATGTTTCTTTGGCTTAGTCTCTATTTCAGAGATTGCCACAGCAGAATGAATCACCAACTATTCTGGCATATATTTTAGGTAGTGGATGCCCTTCCAGCCGCACCCCAGTACTGGAAAACACACACACTTTCATTCACACTCGCACGCATACACTATAGCCAATTCAGTTTATTTAATTCACTTATACCGCATGTCTTTGGATTTGTGGGGAAAACCAGAGCACTCGGAGGAAACACAGGGTGATCATGCAAACTCCACACAGTAATGCCAACTGACCCAGCTTGAACTTGAACCAGGAACCTTCTTGCTTTGAGGCGACAGTGCTAACCACTGAACCGCTGTGCCACCCTTCACTCAGCATGTTGATCATAAAAACAAAGATGAATCTATATGCTGTCTTTGATATCATTCTCTCATTTTAAAAGGCACAGATGACAATGCTTTTTTTCCCCATAGATTCCTATATTAAAGGATAGCTAAAGGTCAAGCTGATTGCATGGCTGCAGGACGTGTGATTGACAGCTTCCATTTAAAACATTGTCACTGTCATTCTCCACTGGTATACTGACCAGTTCAGGTTTTTCTGAAGGGCACTTGAGCTCATACTGTCACCATAGCAGCCATCAGACACGCTGTGCACATTGTCTGAAATGCTGAAAATGTGCTAAATCTACTTGTCTGCGGCTGTTGAGGATGTCTTGCCTTTTTCTCAAGCCGGAAAATGTTAAAAGGCCATTGAGTTTCTCTGCTATTTAGCGTCACTGCTTTTTGACTGTAGTCAGGGGACAGGGTTTTTTAACTCTTATAAATAACTGTATGTATGTTTCATTTTTAATGCTTTTGGTTTTACTTTGTTTAGATTTTTTGTCTTTTATTTAATTGTATTGGATTTTTGTTTTTTTATCTTCGCTTTGCTTTGTTTTTATGTGATTTGAGATGTTTTGTTTTACTTTGTTGTGCTTCGTTTGTGTCTTTTTTTCTTTGCTTTGTTTGGTTTAGCTTTAACTTTTAACTGTGCTTTTAGTTTAGCTTTGCTTCTTCATTTTGTTTTGCTTTTTTTGTTTGGCATCTGTTTTGCTTTTGTTTTGTTCAGCTTATTTTTTTGTTTTGCAGTTACTTGCTTTGGTTTACTTAATTTTTTTCTTTGCTTCTGTTCTGTTTAGCTTGTTCATTTTTAATTGGTTTTGCAATGATTTGTTTTACTTTATTGTGCTTTATTTGTGTCTTATTTTCTTTGCTTTGTTTGTATTAGCTTTAACTTTGAACTTAGCTTTTATTTTTGCTTTGCTTCTTCATTTTGTTTTGCTTGCTTTTTTGTTTGGCATCTGTTTTGCTTTAGTTTAGTTTCTTGCTTCTGTTTTGCTTTTGTTTGCTTTGCTTGACTCCATTGTTGTTCTTTGCTTCTGTTTTGTTTAGGGGTTTTGTTTTGATTTGTTTAGCTTTTTTATTTTGTTGTGCTTCGTTTTATGACTTTTGGTTTTTGTATGGCTTTGTTTGTTTTAGCTTTAACTTTGAACTTAGCTTTTATTTTTGCTTTGCTTCTTCATTTTGTTTCGCTTGCTTTTTTTGGCATCTGTTTTACTTTTGTTTAGTTTCTTGTTTCTGTTTTGCTTTTGTTTGCTTTGGTTTAATCCATTGTTGTTCTTCGCTTTTGTTTGGTTTAGCTTTTTGTTTAGATTTGATTCAGTTTTGCTGTCTTACACTGTTTTGCTTTTCTTTTTCACTTCAATTTGTTTCACCTTTTTGATATTTGAATATGTTTATTGTTTTGTTTTGCTTGTTTGTCTTGCTTTGCTTTTGTCTTGTTTTGAATTTATTTGCTTTTATTTTTGTTTTGCAATAATTTTGTTTTTATTTGTTTTGCCTCATGACCCGCCCCATCTTGTATTAGTAAATAAATATTAAAGAAAACAACACAGAACATTTCTTGTATGACCCATTTTTAGATCTGAAATTATTATAAAATACTAAAGTATTTTCCCCATCTCTGTGTTTTTTGTCTTATGTGACTAGTATAAATGTGTGCTAAAATAGGGTCTTCTAAAAATAGTATCATGTGCATTTTTAAACAAGCTGCTTTCAGTTCGTGTCTAAGCAACTGGCCTCTTCTGTAGATTTATCATCACCTAAAGCAAAGTCCTTAACATCACAGAAAAGAAAAAACATAGATTGTAGCATAACCAATGCTCTCATTGTGTATGATGTGCAGAAGAACCTGTCTCTATCTTTAATATCTCACCTTGAGATGAATCTTTGGCTCCACAGACTCATGCACTCTTTCCCTCTCTGTTTAGCTGTATGACTCCGTCAAGGTTTCTGAGCTCATGAATTATGCAAAGCAAAGGCCATTTCACTGACACAGCCTGCTACACAGCAGAATCACTCAGATAGCACTCTCTACCTACTAGCAGTTAACAACCAACGCTATCTCATTTCTCCACACAACAGAAACACACCACACAACAGAAAACAGCATTATTCACAATTCTTACTTGGGGTTTAAATTGCTTAAACTTTGCAGTTGCTCATCCATCATATTCATGGGAGCATTTTATGGTGATGGTGAATCCTGTGTAAACAGGTTTATGGCATATTAAAAGATCAAGAAGCACATTTTTATTTTGTAATATTACGGATAGAAAGTAACACATTGTGTCTTATATTACCTTTTATGTAGTGTTTAATGTAGCTGTTTGTGCACATTTATTTTATTTTATTTTATTTTATTTTATTTTTTCATTTTAATTACATATTTTAAAAATTTATTATATTATATTATATTATATTATATTATATTATATTATATTATATTATATTATATTATATTATCATTTATTTTAATTTAATTTAATTTTTATTTAATTTAAATTTTAATAAGTTTAATTTAATTTAATATATTTTAATTTTCAAAAATCATTGTAATTTAATTTAATATTCATTAACTAACCATAATTTTTTATTTATTTAATTATACTTTTCTTGAATTTCATAATATTTCTATTTGCGTTTTATTTGTATTTATTTATTTTATTAAATTATTTTAGCCTTTCTTTTTGCTTGTTTTTGCTCTATTTTATTCAAAAAATAATTAATCTTTTAATTTATTTCATTATTTGAACAGAATTGCATTTTCAATTCTATTGTTAACCATCTGAAAGGATGTGCTTTTGTGAATCTGAAAGGATTTCTGTTCTGTGCAGAAAGCTGAACGATACACAAAGGGCTTTCTGGAGCAGGAAGAACAATTGTGTGTATTTTTTTAACCCTCCTCTGAGTAACCAGACAGCAGCCTGTGTAATTTTGTGCTTCAGCCATGTGTATTGCCATCCATATGCCAGTGCTGCGGGTGCTGCCATCACAGCGTCCCCGTCTCTTCCAGCTCAATGCCCTCTATCGCTATTTACATCTCATTTCTATTTACATCAGTGCTTTAGTGTCCCTTCTAATAAATATCATCAGTTTGTGCTGTTTTTTAATCATTGCCTTTTTATCTGTTTCCCCTTTCAGTCTCACCGGCTATTCGTGGATTCCCCCCTGCATGTTTGAATGGTCACATTGAGTGTGAATCACAAGGCCCAGTTGCTTTGACCTGGAGGGGAAGGATTTTGATGTAACGCAGCCTTGCCATGGACGGGAAGAGGAGCTGCTCGCTCTGTGGAGGAGCGATGATGATAATGATGATGATGATGATGATCAGTCACATGACCTCCGCATTAGAAGTGCCTCTAGACTGTGAGTATTGCACAGCAAGTATTATTAAATATGATGTGATGTCAATGAACTATAATAAATTCAGTACATTACATCAAATTATTTATTTATTTATTGTCTTATTGTCTTCATTGATTTAATCTAAAATTGTAATATTGTGAAATTTATATTTAAAATAACTTAATAATGTGTGTTATGCCAGTGATTAGTAAAAACTGTGAAATTAAATAGTATTACTGTGAAAAATACATGTTTTTTTTTTTTTTTTTTTTTTTTTTTTAATGATTGTAGTTTAAAAATGTTCCTGTGATTTAAAGATTAATTTTCAGTATCATTACTTCATTCTTCAGGGTCACATGACCACTCAGAAATCATTATAAAAGGATGATTTACTGTTCTGTTGTGGTCAGTTATTATTGGTACTCAGTCATTAATAATGTTTTACTGTTTTATATAGTTTTGTGAGAGATGTGATGTGTTTAAAGATTATTTGTGTAAAAATGACAGCATTTATGTGAAATAGAATCCTATTTTTACACTATAAAAAGATTAATTTCATGTTTAATTTTACTTGTGAACAAGTCCTTGATGAATGTAAACAAATAGCATTTTTAATGGTATTTTTGAATAGTATTATTTACACTAAAGTGCCTTACTTATGACTTATTTATAATGATAATATTAATAATAACAATAATAATCATTATAATAACGGACAGCGCAGTGGGTAGCGCCTACCAGCAAGAAGGTAGCTGGTTTGAGCCTTGGCTGAAGGTAGAAGGTAGCTGGTTTGAGCCTTGGCTGGATCAGTTGGCATTTCTGTGTGGAGTTTACATGTTCTCCCTGTGTCCCTGTGGGTTTCCTCCTGGTGCTCCGGTTTCCCCTACAATCCACAGACATGCACTATAGGTGAATTGGATAAGCTAAATTATCCGTAGTGTATGTGTATGAATGAGAGTGTGTGGGTGTTTCCCATTAATGGTTTGCAGCTAGAACGGCATCGCTGCATAAAACATGCTGGATAAGTTGGTGGTTCATTCCGCTGTGGTGACCCCTGAATAATAAAGGGACCAAGCCGAAAAGAAAATGAACGAATTATAAAAATAATAATAATAGGTAATCAATCATGAGCTGCAGATGATCATATTAGAATGATTTCTGAAGGATCATGTGAGTTATGAGCTGTAAATTCTGTTTTAAATCACAAATGTATTTACAATGTTAAACTACATTCAATACGAAAACGTTTATTTTAAATGGTTATAATATTTATTAATTCCTCAGTTTTACTCTATTTCTAATCAAATAAATGCAGTGAGTAGTATATGCAGATTTTTAAATCATTTATAAATCTTACATTTCTCCAACTTTTACCAGTAATGTAGATATTATTTGCCATTCATGCAACAACAACAACAAGGATGTCTACCTATGCCTTGTGTCCTGGATGTTTCATGGACACTTTTAGACTAAATTAATGATTGAAGTCCAGGTTATTTCAGCCACATCAAATTCACATAAACTCATTATTACAATAGAAATGCAGTATAGTATGTTGTTATCTGAGTCATCGCAGTGTGTCTGCTCTCTAGAGAAAAGTTTCACATTTAGATACCGACTGTGTGTGAAATCAGCACTACGACTGTGTAAGCAGAATATGCAAGGACTTTTAGAGATCATTGGTCACACTTTCTCTTTCAGCCTCCATCTTTTTATTTATATGGCTGTAATAATCAATTTTATAAAAATATATGAGATACACTATCCTTTGGGGATCAGCAGCTTCATAAGTTTATAGTCAGCAAAGAAATCTATGCCTTTATTCTGCAAAGGTGTATTTAACTTATGATTACTGTAAAAAGTAAAAAAGAAATTGTTACCAAGTTTTTATATTTCTAATGAATTTTGTTTTTGTACATTAAAAAGCTATAAAAAAAAATTTAAACAGCATAACGGTTTCCAACATAGATTGTAGTAAGAATTGTTTCTTTAGTGAAAAATTGTCATATTAAAATAAGTTAGAAGGATGATGTTGATGATGACTAGAAAATTATAAATTAAGATCGATTAAATTTGAAAGGAAACACACTTGAAATGCACATAAAATGCACTTGAAACACACATAAAACATTTGAAATGACCATGAAACACGCTTAAAATGCACATGAAACACGTGAAATATAAACACAAAGCACATGTGAATGACACTTGAAACACACATGAAACGCACTTGAAATGCACATGAAACACACTTGAAACGCACATAAAACACTTAAAAATGCACATGAAACGCACTTTAAACCCACAACACGCTTAAAAATGCACATGAAACACACTTGAAACGCACATAAAACGCTTAAAAATGCACATGAAACACTTGAAATGCACATAAAACGTGAAATATAAACACAACGCTCATGTGAATCACACTTGAAACACACATAAAACACATTTGAAATGCACATGAAACACACTTGAAACGCATGGAATGTGAAATGAAAAACACATGAAACACACCTGAAACAGGTATGAAACATGAAATTTGAAACACGTGAAACACTCGAAACACACATGAAACACACTTGAAATGCACATGAAACGCACATAAAACACTTTAAATGCACATGAAACACACTTGAAACGCACACAAAACACTTGAAAGATTAACACATAGCACATATGAAACACACTTGAAACACACTTAAAGCATACATGAAACAAAATATAAAACACATGAAACACACGAGACACACATGAAACACATACAAAATTGAAAACTCCCAAGAAATGTTTAGTTTTTAAATATCTCCATGTGTAAAAATGATGACTTATCTTCTCATGAGAATGTTCCAAAACTACACTGGTTTCATTTCACCTTTTAATATGTGAAGCTCATGTGATGCTTGTGTTGTTGTTTTTTCATGTGGCACACATGTAATCATAGTCACTGATACTAATGACATAGCATATCATATAAATTGCAAGTTCACTGATAGGGAATTGTGACTGGATGGTAATTTTATGGAAATGGAAATACATCACTGTGGAAAAGTAGGATATCTGATAGCAAGAATATTGTTGCTCAAACACATGTAAAGAGTCTTTGTGGATCATAAAGCACCATTTTAGTCCAAAATCTTTGCAGTCTATATTGCATGCAGCAGTCTTTTCAGAATAAAGCAATCAATCAATGACAAACAATCAGCATCATCCAAACTGCATTAGGTGAATGAAAAAGCATGAGAGTTGCATGATGGGTAACGAGTGCCCAACACACCTCCGGAAGTTTCTCTGAGGGAACGTGACTTTGTTTGATCTTCTCTTCTCTCTTCTTCTTTTACACTAATTTGAACTCTTTTACTCTCTCGCTCATGTATTTCCTGTGTCATTTGGACAAAAAAAGCTAAAGTTCTGGAGGGATGTAAGTCTGGGCAATTTTGCTGTGAAATCTCTTGTGAATTAGATTTAATTTAGTTTTTTTCTGTTTCTGTTTGAAGTGTTTGTGTTTTTGGAATGCATTTAACATGTTTTATCATTTATTAAGCATTAACTTACCAAAATATGAAGCTTTATGTACATTATGATAGACGTCTGTGTTGCTTGCTGCATGCTCTTTGGTTGTTTGTCTCTCTGGGTTTTGTTACAGTGATAAACTAAGGCTGGGCACTTTTATATTTTTAGATCTTTTTTTGCAGAATCAGTTTCTGCACAGGTGCTTCGTCTGTTCTGGTTTTTGCCAAGGTGTGTATGTGTGTGTGTGTGTGAGTGAATTAGAGATGCTTGTTTCACTCTGGTTTCTGTGCTTCAGTGCCTCAGCCTCCAACAATAACTAATCAGTCCCCCAAGGATTATATCATCGACCCTCGGGAGAACATCAATATCTTCTGCGAGGCGAAAGGAAAGCCTCATCCCAGGTGGGTGTCACTTTGAGTCAGTGTGGTTATTGCAGATTCCAATGCTGTGGATGGATTGATGATTTACACCTACTGTACAGTACTAAACATAACATCAGACATTATGCAGGCCTTTAAATGGTTAGTTCACTCAACTATAGAAAGTTCTGTCCTCAATTAGTTGAAATCTAAGCTGAAGATTTGAACTTCACTCACTGCAAGGACCTTATTTTTCTTACAAATTACAAAACCACCAGGATAGGGTTGCACCAGCTTATCATAAGTTCTTTCTTAAACTGTAACGTGAGGTCCACACTAGGGGCTTAATAACTATTATCTTGTTTGTAACTAAATTTATTCTCACTTCGGTTGCACCACGGTTTCTTAGGGCAAACCATAGTTTGTAGGTCGTAAGGTCTCCGTTTGTAGGTCGTAAGGTCTCCGTAAAGTCATGTGTATGACGTAAATGAATGATGTAATATACAATATTAAGTGTTTAAATTGTTAAACTGCTTTAAAATTATGCATCTAATGCATCTATATTAAACTGTCCTAAAAAATAAAATTATAAATTACATTTTATTGCACATTAAATCACAGTCAATAATGATAATGGTTTTCTGGGGAGTCGAACATCATTCAAATACAAAAATTGAACAATCAAATGTAAAATAACATGATCATCATTGTATAAATATTTTTATGCAATGAAATAAAAATTATATTTAATAATATCCCTGTATTTTAATCCTGCAGTGTGACTTTTGCATAAACACACATTGCGATATCGATGCTCAAACGATATATCGTGCAGCCCTATTTCAACTCTTATCATTATGTTTGTGTTTATAATAATTTTTAATCATTTTTGGGGGGCGATTGACAATGGAAACTTGTACCAAACAAATTCTAGTACTTTAGAACTTGAAAAAGAGCAGCTTGCACATACAGCCAAATATCTTATTTTGTGTTTTACATAAAGAAAAGTGGACTGTTCCTTTAAGGAATCAGCTTGAATCATCTACGTTGTTTTTAACATCATAATTGTGTGCATGAGGATTTTATATCTTCTATTGCTGTTGTTTTTAAGGAAATATATTTGGAAATTTGAAGATTTGAAATTTTAGCAAGTGTTTGTTTGTTTCAAAAAGACCAGACAGTTAATTCATCTTTTTTTTTTTTTTTTGGAAAAAGAAGCTTTGGATATTCAACAAAATACATATCGACTGCACATATACATTTGTACTTATGTTCATATGTATCTGCATACTTCTGATTATTAACATCAACCTGTGCATGTATTCATCTAGTGTAAATCTCTGTTCATAGTTAATACAGCCTGTATATACAGTAATGTTCATAGTACATCCATCTGTAAATATTACCCATAGTTTTTCTTTAACTGCACTTTATATCTTGTATCCTGCACTTGCTGCTGTTGCACTTCTGGTTAAACCTAAACTGCATTTGATTGTGCAGCATGTGTACTTGTACATGTGTAATTACAATAAAGTTAAATCTAATCAAATCAAATCTAAAAATATTTGATGATATGTGATATTTTATGTAATATGAATTTATCACATAACAAATAAAATAATAATGTTGAAAAAATAAAGATCTAAATGACATGTAAGCAACCAAATGGATCAATTGATGTTGTTATAAATAAAGGCATTGATCGTAACATCACTCTGTGCGTAGATACTCTCCTAATTGATTTTATGCTTTCATCCTAGCTTTTCATGGACACGTAACGGCACGCATTTTGATGTGGAAAAGGATCCCAAAGTTGTCATGATGCCCGGCACAGGCAATCTAGTCATCGACATCAGCGGAGAGAAGGCTGAGGTTTATGAGGGTGTTTATCAGTGCATCGCCCGCAACGAGCACGGCTCTGCTGTGTCCAATAACATCGTCATCCGTCAATCAAGTAACTAACCACACAACATATTGCCACAGGAGTGTTTTGTTGATGTTTGTGCAGTGGCCTCTCATCCTTTTCTTTAAACTGAAGGCTCAATTCTGTTTCATAGGGTCCCCCTTGTGGTCAAAAGAGAAAAACGAACCAATCACAGTGCAGAGAGGAACGTCTCTAATACTGCAGTGCAGACCCCCAGCTGGCCTGCCTCCTCCTATCATCTTCTGGATGGATAACAGTAAGAAAATATCACATTTATAAACATGCTGACAATAGCACACCAGAAGGCACATTAGCGCTGGCAGCAACTGAAATGCACATTTGCTTATGTTTTCATATACTTTACATGGTGACCAATGTATGTAAATTAACTGGAGGTCATTGTTTTTACATGGGCCTCCTTTTTGGCACATAGTGACCTCATATGCTCTCAATAATCCCAAATTAAAGGCACAAATCTACCAAATGCATTGTTTGTCAGATTTCCAGAGACTTCCCCAGAACAGTCGTGTGTCGCAGGCTTTAAACGGAGACCTGTATTTCTCCAACGTGATCATGGAAGACACCAGAAACGACTACATCTGCTACGCCCGCTTCCCACACACTCAGACTATCCAACAGAAACAGCCCATCACCGTCAAAGTGCTGGACAGTAAGTGTTGTTAGACTGCTGCTACAAATAGAGGCACTCATTTCAAACAGACATCTATGTCTATCAGTTTCTTTATGTTGAATTCAAAGTATTTTCGGAGTTAAACATGTTCTGCTGTTCTTACGCATATCAGTCGATAAAATTTGGACTGTTAAATCGTAATATGCAGATTTATTTATCAAATCAATCACTAATAGTTGCATATTTTTATTTTCACTTTAAGAAAACCCTTAAGTGAAGAACATTTCGTAAGACTTTTGCTGTATTGTTGTATATGTGATGTCCAAAATAATCAAAAAGCTGCAAAATGTAAAATTTTATGCATTTTTAATTGCTTTTATATGTTCATTTTGTTCAATATTTTTTAAATGGTCTAGATACATTTTGTTACAGTAATTGTTTACGAAAACATTAATTTGACAGCCCATGAAAATTATAATCAATAAATATCAGCACTATGGCTTTGTTTTTTAATGCTTCTTCAGTTTTCCTGTTTTTTTCCTCCCCAGAACCTTAAATGTCAAATCATTGCATGCTCATTATTTTTTGTTGTATTCCAGTTGAAGCTATGAATGACACTGTGTTGGCAGCTTTTTTGAATGGCTCAGATTTTTGGGGTGGTGAGTGCTAGCAGAACTTCTCCAAGTGAACCCAGCCTTCATTTTCTCCCATCCCCTTGTGTTTCTGCCTAACCAGGAAATAATAGCTCATTTCCTAATATACTATATTACTTACAGTACATAATCACAAAAAAATAACCCACTTCTGTAGAATCCCAACACTGATCCCAAACAACTTCTGCATTTGGTATTAATCTTCATCTCATTACATCATTTTTAATGATTTTGTCTCACTGACGAAAGGACTGAAGCCAACACTACAGGAGTTGACTATCATGAATGACTTTATATTTTGTTTTATATAAGATTGCTGTCAGTCCTTATTTCTTTTTTAATTAATGTTTAGTGTCTTTAACCTTCTAATGGTCAGTTTACTAATCTTTTTTTTCTGTTTCTGAATACATGTTTTAGTGTTGCATAATAAAATCTACTTGGCCAAAAGCATCATTATATAAGCAAATAAGTTTATTGCAGTAATGAATCAGTCTTTCCAGGATTTTGCAAGTCTAAAGATTCATGAGATCCAAAAAGAGACAATTTCACAGGTTTTTTGTGTATTTTCGCATAAAAAAAAACTAAAAATCAAGCAAAGCTTTAATAAAATCCATCACAAAATCAGTTTAAGCTGCATATAAATATATATATATATATATATATATATATATGTTCCTGCAAAACCAATTGTTTGCCTTTGTCCCATCAGACTCAGTTGATGTATTCCCGATAAGAGAATGGTTTACCATCTTCTTTAGTTTTTTTAATACACATACTTGTAGATACAGTGTTAGGGTTAAAGTACTGACTGAATTTTCCCATACCAAACAACAATTCTAAGTACTATTTGCACACGGTTTGCTCTTATAACATGTGATGTGCTCTCAGATGGTTTTACTCACATACTTTCAATGGATTTTGCGTTGCTAGGTATGTATTCTGGGTTTAATGTCCATTAAGAAATGATTCAGTTTTCAAGAAAGAAACATTTCAGTGGCCACATTGTGCAGGGAAAACCCCAACACTGGCAACACTGTTTCAGGGTCATATAGTGGAGATGCTCCAATAACTAATAAAGGAACTTGGTCACAAATAAATGCAACTCTTTATGTAATAAACTTTCAGACATGGTTGTCAAATCAATGCCATGACTAGTGCTCTCCATAAACAGGGTGAAAATGGTTGCTATCTAAACTACTATGTAAAAGAAGCCTCATTTCAATTTATTAGCCCAATGAATCTTTCCATGGTTGTCCTGGAATATGTCCATGTGATACCATACATGTTTCAATGTCAGTTGTTTTTGTTTTTGGCCAGACAGTGTATATGCAACACCATATTACTATGAAATATCTCATTTCAATTATATTTAGGATCCTTCCATTCACTTTTAAAGGCTTGTCCATTAAAAGGAAGCAATGGAAGGATTGAATTGTCTGTCATTCAGTATGAGGTTCACTTGATCAAAGACATGAGGGTGATTTTTAGCAAGGCTTGTCTTAAATCAATAGATTGTTCAACTATTTATTCAAGTATTTTTTTTTACTTTATGCTGTTAAATTTGATCAATCATATTCTAACTGTACTGTACAGCAGGGATGTCTAAACTCTGACCTGGAGGGCCGGTGTACTGCAGATTTTAGCTCCAACTTGCCTCAACACACCTGCATGGATGTTTCTAGAAAGCCTATAAAGAGCTTGACTAGCTAGCCCAGGTGTATCTAATTGTGGCTGGAACAAAACTTTGCAGGACACCGGCCCTCCAGGACCAAGTGTGGACACCCCTGCTTTACAGGATACATCTTGATTTTACACACCCAAGCAGAATCTTTTCCCCTACTATGAGTGCTGGGTTGATACAGTAAATGTCTGGTTATAAGACTTGTCTGTCTGATTGTAGACAGTCCATCTGGGGAGAGAGTGCCCTCTTTTCTGCATCCACCAGGAATGGAAAGTACCACCATGGTCTTGAAAGGAGATACGCTGGAACTGGAATGCATTGCAGATGGCCTGTAAGTAGCAGGAAGTGGAACACTGGTTTAAAGATTGCTATTGTTCAAACTACTTATTTAAAATGAGTTGAAACAACACAATTATTGAGACTTAATTGTTTTATGTTAAGTCCAACTAAATTTATTAAGTTAACTTAATTGATTTGCGTTGGGACAGCATGAATGAATTGTGAGGAACCCTTCATTTTTTATAGTGTGGGATATTTTTGTGATCATATCCATTTCTGACTGTATTAAAGAATTTGCATAAAAATATTTGAGTTTTTTTCTGTGTTTTACAGTCCAACGCCAAATATCTCCTGGACTAAGGTGAACGGGGAGCTGCCAAGTGGGCGTTTTTCATTTTACAGTTTCCAGAAAACTCTGAAGATAAAAGAGGTGACAGAAGCAGACGGGGGAGATTACCGATGTATAGCCAAGAATCGCATGGGGAGCAGCCAACACACCATCACCGTAGTGGTCAGAGGTCTGTCACAGGACGTCTTTTCATGTGTCACATCTCAAAAAACCTGTTTAGTCACATCATTCACTTGACCCCAGGACACCTTCCTGTACTGTTCATGGATTTGTGCTCGTCTGAAAGACTTTTTGTGTTTGCTGTTGTTCAGAGAGTATCCCTGGGTTTATCAAGTATAACTCAAATATTCATTATAATACACAGCGTGGAAAATAAGTATTGAAGATGTCACCATTTTTCCCAGAAAACATATTTGTAAAGGTGCTGCTGATTCGAAATTTTCACCTGAATTTAATAGCAACCAAATAAATCTATATACATGTATACAAAGAAAAGAAATCTAATTAGTTTACAAATGCAGTCATTTGTAATAAAACGAAATGACAGGGAAAAAGTATTGAACGCATGAAGAATGCTAAATTTTTGAATGTGAATTTCCAAGAATGTATATGCAGATTTTCACATTTTGTTAGTCTGAATTTGTCTGACTTCTGTCTTTCATGTCCACAGCGGCTCCCTTTTGGATCAGTGCCCCTCAGAACCTCATCTTGGCCCCAAAAGAGACTGGAAACCTCACCTGCGATGTTGATGGAAACCCTAAACCCACAATTACATGGTCTGTCAATGGAAATCCCATTGAAAGTACGTAACACCCACTCACTCATTTATATTTCTGGTTCCAGTGTTACCTATTATTTTCAATAAGTAATACTAATATGTATTTATGATTTATTTTAGAGAATAAGTTTGCTTGTACAGTGCATTTAAAAACAGCAACAATTCACTGAACAATAATTATAGGCAATGTTGTTATGGCATTATATACATTTTCACCACTACCACTTTTATTTTTATTTACCACTTTTTAAATTAAATTAAATTAAATTAAATTAAATTAAATTAAATTAAATTTAAATAATTTAATTTTATTTTATTTTATTCTATATTATGTTATGTTATGTTATTTTGTTTTGTTTTTTATTATATTTTATTTTGTTTAGAATTTTTTATATTAATTTTTTATTTTATTTTTTATTTTATTTTATTTTATTTTATTTGTTTCTTTTCTTTTTTTTTATAATCCTTTAAACAATGTCTTGTCATCTGTTTTTGTATGAGTGAAAAATATTTCTCTGATTAAATTAAAAAATTACATAATCGGATATATTTAAACATGTCCCCGTTTTTAGTTAGTACCTCAATGCTATCTACCTTTTATTATTTATTTATATATTTATAACTGGTTTGTTGAAAGGCTCACATAATGACCCAAGCCGCAAAGTGTCAGATGGCGTCATCACCCTCAGTGACGTTCAGACAGGCTCCAGCGCCGTCTACCAGTGCAACGCCTCTAATGATTACGGTTACCTGCTGGCCAATGCCTTTGTCAGTGTACTAGGTTAGTTGTATACATTTGCTTTATTCTGTTCTGTATTTAAAACTATTCAACATGGCAAAATTATCATATCATATTACATTTCAGCTGAACCACCAAGAGTGCTGACGTCTCTAAATCACGAGTACTCAGTCATCAGTAACAGCAGAGCTCTGTTAGACTGTGCTTCTTTTGGCTCGCCACTTCCAAAAATCACATGGTAAGACTTGTTTAAATCTGTACATTTGTTTGTCTCTAAAGCTTAGAAGAAGTGGCTTCTACATGGTATGAACATGCTTTTTCTGATCAAAGGTTGACACACAGTATTACACTTTATTGTTTCCTCCTGTAAGGATGAACTCAAAAGCTTCTCTTGTGGCTATTCAGAGTTTCTCAAGACTCATTATTTTGTCACACTCGACGTGACTTTTATAGGAGTGTTTACTGTAATGCACAAGTACTATTAAGTGAACAAACATGTTACACACTGGAAACCAAAAGCAAACACTACTATGATTTTTGATTGTATTCTGTGTGTTTTGGTACAACAAAGCAGGACTACATGTTTTGATGTATTTTGAGGGTCAGTAGGAAGAAAGTAAGGGGTATATTGTGACAATTTGAACCTCTGGGTGTCATCAAAAGTGGCTTAAAGCATTTTTAAGTATGCCTGTATTATGATTAATCCACTTGTGATTGCATTGATGAAAATTCATATCAATACCAGGTGTGTAAACCTATCCATCAAGGTGTTAACTGTGTGGGGGCTGTGTTTCTGTGATCTGCAGGTTTAAAGACAGTCAGAGTATACTGAACAGTGACTTGTACCACATTCATAAGAACGGTACATTAGAGATCAATGTAGCTCAGCCACAAAACAGCGGCAAGTACACTTGTATAGCATCAAACAATCTTGGCAACAAAGAGAATCACGTCCACCTGCAAGTGAAAGGTGAGTGAGAGTTAAATTGAATTTATGTATATATTAAACAGGTGTATTTGTGAACATTTGTGAATGTATAAAAGACTAAAGGATATGTAAGTTAGATACTGCCGGATGAAAGATTGATTTTGTTTTCTGTTTCTCCACAGAGCCTACACGAATCATCAGGCAGCCGGAGTATAAAGAGGTCCAGAGGAACTCCATAGCTGTGTTCGAGTGTAAGGTCAAACATGATCCCACTCTCATTCCCTCCATGATATGGCTTAAAGACAACGGAGAGCTTCCTGACGACCCTCGGTATGACCTGGAATCAGTGCTGTGATCGCTGATCAAATATAAGCACTTTCTGAACCAGGGCACATTATAGATTGCTATTAATTTAATTTAATTTAATTTAATTTAATTTAATTTAATTTAATTTAATTTAATTTAATTTAATTTAATTTAATTTAATTTAATTTAATTTAATTTAATATTTTAATTTTGTGATTTTTTTGTTTGATTATTTTATTTTATTTTTTATTTAATTATTTATTTATATATTTGTTTGTTTATTTATTAATTAGTTTTTTTAACATATGTTATATATTCAGGGCCTATTTATAATTTTTAATACATATTTTTTTATTAAATCCATGTATCCACAATATTTAGAGAACTTATCATCGCAAACTTGATACTTTTTGATTGTATCAAATTTAGAAAAAGATAAAAAAAAAAATTCTCAATATTATTTTTTTAAATGGTTAAATACTACTACTAATTTAGTAAAATATTCAATGTCCAGTAAATTCAGAATTGCTTTAATACTAAAATGTCATCTCGTATCAAAAAGCTTGCCAGTTTGTTTCTTTGTTGCACGTCTCAGATGAGTTGCTCTGAAAGACAGCCTTTAGCTGCTTGTTTTCGACTGACAGCTGTGTATGTTTGTAGATTTGAGGTTGGCTCTGATAGTCTGACTATACATGATGTGACAGAGGATGATGAAGGCACCTACACCTGCATCAGAAACACCACCCTGGACCAAGATTCAGCCAGCGCCACACTCACAGTAGTCGGTAAGATTGATTCATACATCATTGTCCCCTGCTTCATATGCACAGTATATAATATGGCTTCCATAGTCAGTGCAGAAAAAATGGTTGGTTCTTTAGATTTGGAATTGTATTGAATTGTATAATTTACTTTTGACTTCCTCAAACCTGCTTTCCTCATCAGAGGCCACACCAACACCAACTATGATACTGGGTAAACCTCACTTCTTTAAGTTCCCAAACAGGTCCCAAACCCATCTGATTCATATGTATTTTTGCTTTATTTTTGGTTTATCCACCATCACTTTCCTTATGTGCTTTATGAATGTGTTATGTGGACGTTTACCATTAATATACAAACTGTTAAAGGCATCAATGACAATTCATGACTATTATATACATTTATATATTATTTACTATTATTACTCAGTGGTCTAAAAAATTAACCAAAACAGACAAAAATAACACGTTTAATCCTGTTTTGCATAAGCCCAGACCTAATTAGATTAAAATACTGCATTACTGTGGAACAGCTTTATGTACTGAACTTGTTTCTTGTCTGCTTTTATTTGCCGTCTTCATATTTAAAAAGCTTCTTTGATACAATCTTATTTGTATGACATTCTATGAAAAATAACAATGACTAGATTTAACTTGTTATGGGTTATATGGCTCAAATGGTGAAATAATTATGCATTCAAAAGTAGCACAATTAAAACTTGCCAAGTGTGAACACACCTTTACCCATTGTAAAATCATGCCTTTAACAGAACGTCACGTTTTCCACTGTGACCTATTTAAGTTTGCCAGTCTATATGTGCTTCATTTTGGCTTGTGTTGCATGTTTATAGTGTTACAGTGCTCTTCCGCTGGATCGAGTTTTGTGTCTCATAATAAATGGTTTTGCAGAGCAACCGGACCCACCAACTGACCTGGAGCTGACTGACCAGCGCGAGCGCAGTGTTCGGCTAACATGGACCCCTGGAGATGAACACAACAGCCCGATTAAATGTGAGGTTACAACTTATGTCAGTTTTGTTATCCTCATACTAAAACAACAGAAATGTTCTGATGCATTTGTACCTGAATCCATCAGTGTTCCTGATCCAGTATGAAGATTCACTCCATGAGCCTGGAGTCTGGCTCAATATGACCGAGGTCTCGGGAACCAGCACAACAGCCCAGCTGGAGTTGTCCCCCTATGTGTATTACTCCTTCAGGGTTCTGGCACTCAATGGCGTGGGTCTGAGTGAATCCAGCGATCCATCTAGACAGTACAGAACCAATCCTGCAAGTGAGTAGCACTATCAGGTCCCACTTTATATTAAGTAGACTTAACTACAATGTACTTGCATCAAAAAATAATACAAGTACTTACTGTGTTCATAATGTATGGCAGAACACTTGAGGTGGGATATGGGTCGGGTTAGGGACATGTTTGGTGGTATGAGTAGGTTTAAGGGTGGGTTAAAGTGTAATGGATGGTCAACAGTGTGATGTTACAAATGTTATTACAGAAATTATTACATGCAGGTATTTAATCAATCATAAGTACAATGCAAAAACCATCCATTTACACAATAAGTACATTGTAACAAGTAATTAATGTCAGTGTAAATACATATTAATTAAGGTGACCTAACATAAAGTGATCAAGATCAAACTTTGAACGTATGTGTACCTTTAACATTCCCATTAAATTATATAATGTTATTTTTTAAATGTTCTTTGAATATTCAAAACATCCTATTTTTGATGTGTTAATGTTATATTTTGGTTATAGTAATGTTATTCAAAATGTTTTCACAAAGTTTTAGTCTTATATTATAATTTTAATAACATTATTTAAACGTTATTAGAACATTTCATCCTTATATTACATATTATATACTTTATCATATACGTAAAGTTTTAGTCTTATGGTATATTAATAATTTAAAAACATTATTTAAAACATAATTAGAACATTTCATCCACATTATATAAAAGTTTCCTTAAAATTCTGAGTAAAATATAAAAACATTTTTGTAAATGATTCTTAAACTGTTCATAATATTCTGTTTTAGACAATGTATTAACATAGTTTTTTTTTGGTTATAATTATGGTATTCAAAACATTGGTTATTAAAACATCCCATTCACATTATTGAATGTTCTAAGAGCATTTTTCTATCAACCTTACAAGGATGTTCCAAAACATTAATTTAATTACATTACATGCTAACATTCAGACTGTTTTTAAGTAACATTATAGAAAGTTTTGGGAATGTTCCCTGTTAGCTGGGTAAAACAGGCCTCATTAAACTCCCCTAGTATTAAGGTGCATTTTTTGTCAGTCCAATCACCAATTCAGGTGTAAATGGGGTCTGCAATGTTTTGAGATTGTCCACTTTAAGTTGCTTCCAGAGGCAGTCAAAACTAGGGCTGCACGGTATTTATTCTGCAATATGTTTTGCGATATGAATAACTATTTGGAGAGAATTTATCATTTTAGACTGATTGGGATGATTCTGTAGGGGAGCGCATGTGCATAAAATATAAGAAACAATCTGCAAGCGTAGATAAATTCAATAAAGAAAATTATACTAATTAAATAAACAGCGTTTGATTGGTTTTTTTTTTGATGAGTCGAACTGTATTCGGGTTTACAGTGATTAAATATTTCAATTTAAGATAATACATAGTCTTCGTTTTATTAACAATTTAATCGTTATTTATTTGTCATAGTTACAGGTACAGTTTCTTATGCCTGAATGCTTTTAAAACCCTCAAACTGTAACAGGCCTTAAAAACAGCAAACTTACAACCCAAATTTAACATTGCATATGCTTCGGTGTGACTATTGTCATTATTACAGGATGTGTTAAGAGAAAGGTATTAATTTTTTGCAGCACTGTACCAAAACAGATTAGTTATGATCAAAATTGTAGTTTTCATCTGCAACTTTTTTATTTACTTGCTTTCTGCTTGTTCATAACATGCAAGGTTTTGTTCATTCAATAGCAATCATGCCAATAGCACTTCTTAAATATACCTGCTGTTCCAGTAAGTAGGAAAACTGTAGCAATTGCTCCATCTAATTGCACAAAAATCCACAGCAAGAACATGTTTCAGTCACAAATCACACATGCACACATCAATAAATAATCAGAAAGAGGTTCAAGGTTGAAGTTGGTTAATACTAGGTGGTAGCTTTATATATCAAGTCTGATTTTGATTTTCACAGAGCCTGATGTGAATCCATCAGATGTTGAAGTCAGTGGAACATCACCTGACACTATGACAATATCTTGGAGGGTAAAACGTTTCACTTGATTGCATTCAGTACTTATTTATTTTTTAAATAGAGTTCATAATGAGTAACAGATGACTGATTTCTCTTCGTTTTAATGTGTGCTTACTAGGAGCTGAGTGGCCTTGAGTCTAATGGTCCAGGTTTACAGTACAAGGTGAGCTGGAGAATGAAAGATGCGGAGCAGTGGACGACAGTCACGCTGGCCAATGTCTCGCAGCATGTGGTGACAGGAACACCCACTTTTACACTTTATGAAGTCACTGTACAGGCGGTCAATGATTATGGAGAAGGCCCCAGACCAGAGGTGGTGCTGGGATACTCAGGAGAAAACTGTAAGTGGATCTATTTATAAAAGCAAAATATAGAATAGTATTAAGGATATTAAAGGGATAGTTCACCCAAAAGCTGAACATTCTGTCATCACTTACTCGCCTTTTACTTGTTTAAACCCTTTATGATTTTCTTTTTTCCATAGCAATCTTCCAAACCTAGTTCATTGACTTCTATAGTAGTTGTTTTTCCTATTATGGAAGTCAATAGTTACAGGTTTCAGCTTTTTTCAAACTTCTTTTTTTTGTGTTCAGCTGAATAAAGAAACTCATAAAGGTTTATAACCACTTGAGTGGAATAAATAGTGGGTCAGTTTTCATTTTTAGGTGAACTAGCCGTTTAATATTAATGTTTTCATTATAAATATTATAGTATGCTGATTCCAGTCAGTTAACATTTTCATCCATATCTGACAGATTTAATTTTAGCGCCTTTAATGTGATATTTTATTATGTTCTGGTATTTCTAATTAATTATGTTGTTTTAATCAACCTGTCTGTTTAAAATTGTGTCGGTCATAAATCTACACTTAATTTATGTACAGTTATGTAAATATTATATAAGTTACACAGTTTAGATCCCTTGTATTATTATTTGTTAAATGTAAGTATTATTATTATTATTATTATTATTATTATTATTATTATTATTATTATTATTATTATTATTATTAGTGGTAGTAGTAGTAGTAGTAGTAGTATGTATTTGAAATTGCATTGCAGTCCACTGCATCAATGGAGATAATAGAGAGAATATGCTAAATGTTTGTATATCTCATAAAAATATTTTATTAATTTTATTTATTAGTTGTAAGTATCATGGAATACAGTGTATCCATAAACATGGTATCATTAGTATCAGATCATGGAAAGATAAAGATAAAAATAATTAAAAATATTTACATTCTAAAAAAAGAAAGGAGATAAGTAATAATTTTGTACGTTTTTGTCATCTCAGCACCCACAGTGGCCCCAGAGAACGTAAAAGTTTCAGTTCAGAGCGGGACAGAGGCTGAAGTGCACTGGGAAGCTGTTCCTCTTTCATCAGTCCGGGGTCGACTGAAAGGATACAAGGTGCTTACTGAAATCTATGCATTTACAGCTATTACTCAACATCTTTTAAGATCTTTTGAGAACCTAAATGAAGACCTTTTTGCCGTTTGGTAGGTGACGTATCAGAAGATGAGAAGTTTACACAAGCAAGACTATGATCGTGAGAATCCCCAGGTGCTCATCTTCAGTGGGGAGGAGACTGTGGGACGTCTGCCAGACCTTCACCCCTACAGCCATTACAGACTCAACATCAGAGCCTTCAACGGGCATGGAGACGGACCCTCCAGCACTGACCAGCAGTTCCAGACACCAGAGGGAGGTACTGTAGAGTGTAGAGTACCAGATACAGTATATGCTGATTTTACAATAAATTCAATTAATCTAAATAGTGCTTTCTTTTAGTTCCTGGGCCTCCTACAAATGTAAACATCCGGAATCTGAACCTGGACTCTTTGCTGGTGGAGTGGACACCACCTTTGGAAGACAACGGACACTTGACTGGATACTTGTTGAAATATCAGCCAAGTAGGTTAAAGTTAGAGCTTTTTTTAATTCAAATTTGTTTGCTGGTTTTGGCAAGACGTTGTAGGTGATAAGGGTAGAAAATAATGCCTAGTAGTTATTAGTATATTTCCACAGTTTATTGATGTCATAGTGCAGGGCTGTGCAAACTTTTTTGCGTAAAGGGCCAAAAACAGATTATGAGCCGTGGGCTAAAGCTAATACCAAACTATATTACATGAAAGTTGCCATGGTTCATTTACGAATTTATTTTATAAAATTAAAAAATAAACCAAAAATAGAACTTTAAATCATATTAAGTAATGCAGCATAACTTTTAAAATGATAACTTATTGCAGTAAAAACATATCACTGAACAGTGGTTGTGTTCAATGCTAAATACACCAGTTCTTACCATGATTTGCTCACCAAAGTCTCTGCATTGTCCCCTATTCATCAGGTGACAGTATGTACATTTAAACTTTATATTTAACAATAAAACAAACAAAAGCTTACATTATATTTGAAATGACAATCTCTAAACCATCCCCATCATTCTCTGTCTCTTCTCAGATGGGATGGTGGGCCAAATCACGGGCCCAAGTTTGGGCATCTCTGGCATAGAGAATTAAAAAAAAATGTTTTACACGTTTTCTAAAATGTTATCCAAAAATGCTAATTTATAATTACATATGCACTATTTTGCATACTTGTGCCAAAATCTTGTTTTTATTTATTTATTTATTTATTTATTTATTTATTTATTTATCATTGACACAGTAGATTCAAATATTTTTTTACATGGGGGACTGAAAATCTCTTTTATGACGTGTAATTTAGAAAATACAGCCAGAAATACATTAATTTTTTTATTTTGTCGTAGAATAAAATATTGTATTATCTAGGCAACAGTTGAAGAAAAAAAAAAAACAGCTCTCCTGTGAAATTATTTACTTTTTTTATACTTCCCAAGTGCTTTGCAACAGAGAGAGAGAGGGTTTAACACATTTATATTCTCTAGCCAATTGAAAAAATATAAGGAGGCTAATAATATTGACCTTAGTTTTTAATATTATTATTTTCAAATATGTTTTTTTTTATAAAACCCAAAGAAAAAAAGACTTTCCCAGAAGGCAAATATAATAGGAAATACTGTGAAACTTTTCTTGCAGTTTTAAACAGCACTTAGGAAATATCTAATAATAATAATAATAATAAAAATAATAATAATAATAATAATAATAATAATAATAATAATAATAATAATAATAATAATAATAATAATAATAATAATAATAATAATGATAATAATAATAATAATAATAATTAAAATAATAATAATCTTTATTTAACCAGGTAAGTCAATATCTGAAGAAGATTTCACATGTTACAGAAGGGCTAATAATTTTCTTATTATTAGCTGGGGAACAAATCCCTTTGTAAAAATCTTCAGTTTAAAAAAAGAGTAACAATCATTTGAGGGATAAGAGCCTGTAAAAATATACATTATAACTGAAATCCACAAACACAAGTTTTATTTTCCCTTATTATCCCTCCCCACTTAGACTAAAAAAACAGACCCAAAAGGCCCAAACTGTACAAACTTAAAAGGTGCTTGAGTGTAAGTCACTCCTTTATGATCTCTTACACCTTTCACCTTCTCTGTTTGAACTCTCTCTTGTAGTCAATACAACAGAAGAAGCTGGACTGCTCAAAGAAGTCCTTTTACCAGCAAACGAGACCAGTTACACACTCGACAAGCTTACGCACAGCACACACTACAAGTTCTTCCTGAACGCCATGACTGAAACAGGCTCGGGACCTGCTGTCACTAAAGAGGCCTTCACAGAAGTGGACGAAGGTGAGGACATGTTTTGTGGTTGACTTTAACGATGTAACATTTGCAGGATTGGCTGCAAGGATCCAGACGCAGTAGGTAGGTTTGTGTAAAGGTTTGTGCCATGGTAGGAATGCTGTTCTAGGAATGCTGTGATATTGGAGCTTTTCAATGAGTATGTTTACATGGACACCAATAATCCAATTTTAATACGATTAAGACAACACTTTGATTAAGAGTCTACCATGTCAGCTGTGATTTGAGATTGCCTAAATTAGCATGCATACAATGTTCCCGAATGAAAGTGAAACTGCCAAACTGCAGTTAGTTGAAAAATGAAAAATAAATACCTGAAATGACATGAAACTCTGGAGGAAATGTGGATAGCGTGGTGCAATGACGTTAATCTAATTAGGTGCCATTTAAGGCAAATAGTTCAATTATTAATGTCCATGTAAACGTATAGTGTTTCATGACAAAAGATTTTTAGATTTCTAATTGACTACAGGTCCTTATGATGAGTTTAGAATTTGAGGATTAGTATTATTCAGAATTAACCCTCATTGACTCATGATTTATAAAGGATGATCCAAATTTATGAAATGTATGTATTTATTTTTCTAATAAAAGGACATAAATAAGAATTTTTATTCATTTTACTTTCATAAATGTTTAGACATTTTTCTTATTGGAATGGTTTGTCAGAGTTATAAATCTCTGTTTATTTATTTATTTATTTATTTATTTATTTATTTATTTATTTATTTATTTATTTATTTATTTATTTATTTATTTATTTCAATAGATAGTTATTTAAAATTGACATCTAATTAATAAGAATGACATCTAATTAATAAGAGGCTTTTTGACCTTTTTTTTACATGAATAATATAATAAGTTATTTTTTAAACTAAATTAAATAAAAACCTACAATAATTATCATTATTATTTATTTTTTTAACCAATATTCTTGATATTGACATTACATGTTTGGCACCTAAATATAATCCATTATATTATCCAAACATAAAACATGCATGCTATTTTTGTAATGACTGTTTTGACTGGTCAAAACAGACCTAAATGCATTGCCAACCTGATTTCACCAAGTAGGACATGTTCCTGGATTAACATCTATGTTGATCATGGAACAACTTTCCAATAAGCCAATCAGAGTTAAGGGATTAATTTAACATTCATGTAAAGTTTAGGCTTATGTTTAGGTTTATGCACTTCTTAATTATTCTGTTTTATGAATAATTTACAGTTATGGTTAGGTTTAGGGGTAGGGAAAGGGGATTACTTTTTCGAAAAAAAAGATGTTCCAGGATCAACATAGATCCTAATCCAGGATCGCATTGTCCTTGGCAAAATTATGACCTGCTAAATACATAACGAGGGTGTAAAGAAATTTCTTTTTATATATTTGTTTTTAAATACATATCAATCATTGACAATCATTTTGTTCCATCTGTAAACTAATTTCTCATTTTGATAAATATGCTTCTTAAGATCTTCTGAATGCTTTAATAAATGTCATCCATTAAGCTATTATTTAATGAAATACTAATTTATTATGATGTATTCAAATGCACCCTCCAACAGCAATATATTTTGTGACAAACGCATTAGGGAAATACTCTATTCTAAACTAAATTTGCCGCTACTTACATCCCCCCTACCTTTGTCTTCTTTTGTCTCTCTCTCTCTCTGTTTTCTCTGAAGCGTTAATTCGACATCCCGCAGTAGAGGCGGGTAAAGGTAACACCAGTATGAGGCTGATGGAAATGCATGCTGGTTGAGCATCAGCTGAGAGAATAGAAAGCCACCGTAGCACTGAAACAGAGATACAGTAGATACATATGCATGAATCACCTCAGGCCAGAAAGCTTTACACCTGACCGGCCTGCTCCATATGCCATGGAGGATCATGTTAGCAAGATGCAAATTTCATCCCACTGCTTTCATTAGGGCTTAGCTAGAGCATCTGTTGTGAAAAGGAGAAGTTCACCCAAAAAAATGCTGTTGCTTGAATGCCTGTAAAACACAAAAGGAGAATTAATGATGAATCTTCTTGCAGGTGTTTTCCATTTGGTATTAGATATGGAAAAATATATGATAAAAATTATGTTTATCTGCATTTATTAGGTATGAAGACAAATATTTATGTTTTTTTTTTCAGTAAAGGTCTGATAACATTTCTTCCAATTTTAAATAAAGCTATTGTCCTTTAGTGTGTTTTGTGATTTTATGCCAGAATAAGTTTTACATTTTTAATTTTAGATTTGTATGATAGTAACTTGGTAGTTTACAAAAAAGTCTTACATTTGACTAAATGCTTTGATTAAATGCAATGAAGTGAAGAGTTCATAGTCATTGAGTTGAATCAGTTAGTGAATCATTTCCTCCACATTTTATTATTTTATGCCAAAAACTGTTTTAAATTATGTTTTTATTTTATATTTGGATGATAGAAACTTGGTAGTTTACAAATAAAGTAATGCAATTTTATAATTGCTTCAGTTGAACCAAATGAACTTAAGAAGTGTTCATTGACATTGAGTTGAATCAGTTGGTGAATCATTTCCTCCGCATTTTGTTATTTTATCCCCCCAAAAAGTTTTTTAATTTCATTTATATTTTATATTTGGATGAGAGTAATTTGGTAGTTTACAAAAAAAGTATTACATTTGACTAATTGCTTCAATTGAACACAATGAACTCAAGATGTGTTCATTGTCATTGAGTTGAATCAATTGATGAATCATTTCCTCCGTATTTTGTTGTTTTATGGCACAAAAAAAATTTAAATTACATTTAAAATTTATATTTGCATGATGCTAACTTGATACTCTACAAATAAATTACATATTTTTAGTAATTGCTTCAATTGAACCCAATGAACACAAGAAGAGTTTATAGTCATTACGTTAATCAGTCGGTGAATCATTTCCTTCGCATTTTTTATTTTATGCCAAAAAAAAAAAAAGGTTTTAAATTATGTTTTTATTGTATATTTGGGTGATGGTAACTTGGTAGTTTACAAACAAAGTATTGCAATTCTTCTATTTGCTTTAATTGAATCAATAATCACAAGTGTTCATAGTCATTGAGTTGAATCAGTTGATAAATCAATTCTTCCAATTCAGTTATTTACATAACATCACAACTGCAACCAAAATGGCATACTTCTTCTGAGTAACCTAAATTTGACCACTAAAATGTTCACTTTGTTACCATTCATAAATCTATTAATCAGACTAAATTAGTGAATCATCATGTTCACTCATAAAGTAAATCATAAGGATTTTAATACTTAAAACTTAAACTATGACACAAGCATCAAGTGATCTGGATATATTGTCACTTTCTGACATTAACAATTTGGTCATTGCTTATTAAAGACGATGTGAAGATAATACAGCTATATTCCATAATACAGTCAAAAATCCTTGAAGTTGAATTTTTGGGTGAACTAACCCTCCTACTAGTGCTGAAGAGTCATTAGATGTTTTATTTCAGGGTAAAGTAACATTTGTTAGTATAAGATTAAAGTTAGAGTACAGTTACTCGCTGTCAACTGCATGTTTCTGCATGCTGTAAACACTGATCTGCATTTCTCTCCATCACTGTCTTGTGTTTTCTCACTCTCTTTCTCTAATATTGTGTGTGTTTCATGTTGTGTGTTTCACTATTCTCTGTATGCTTCCAGGCTCTGCCCCCCCTTCACCACCACCACCAACTCCCCCTGTCACTCAATCTTTGCAGCCCCCGTTTCAGGGTACAAGCATCTGCCGTCTCGTCACCTTTTCTCTCTGTCCTTGATTGTTTTTGCTTGTATGAGACTGTGCTGAACAGGAAACTGTAGATCATATATTAATGAAAGTTGGTGAAACACATCACAGAGAGTGTCGAACTCAGTTTGATTCATGATTTGTGATAAAGTGTTACAGTAACAGTACATGAATGTTAAAATATTAATATGTAACCAAAACAAAATGATGAATGAAGGGACGCGCTAATCAAGAGCTAAATTTTGCTACCTTAATTACTTGTTAGTTCATGTTTTTAATTAATGTATTAATTAACATTTAAGTTAAATCTAACCAACATGAACTCATGAGCTGTTCATGTATAATTATGTCATGACTTTACTTGGAGGGGCATGTCACTACTCATGAACTCCTGTGTTTAAACTGTTCATGTTGATGTTGACAGAACACATATCTATTGTAATTCAGTGTAAACACACTAGATGGACATGCATAAGGAGTTCATGAGTAGTTAAGAATGGGTTAATGATGATGTGTCCCTCCAAGTAAAGTCATGATGGTTAAATTAACTAATGTGGTAATTAATACATTAATAAACAAACAATCATGTACTAACAAGTTATTAAGGAAGCCGTTATTCACACATGACTCATGTTTTTAAAAATAGTTCATGATTAGCGCGTGCATTAACTCATCATTAGTTCATGATAATGCTTAGTTGACATATTAACACATCATTCATGTACTGCTATTGTAAAGTGTTAGTTTTTTTCAGTGATGCATTAAATTGATCACAAGTGGCAGTAAATAGATTGTAATGTTACAAAAGTTTTTTTAAAAATTAGCTATTTCTATTCATCAGAGAATCCTGGGGAAAGGGATCATGGTTTTAATTGCATATTAAAGCAGAAACATAGTTTTTAAATTATGATTTAATTTCATAGTGTTATTGTTTTTTCCATATTTTGCAGTTTTAGACACATACTTACAGTAAAATACCATAAATTGTTCTTTTTTTAAAAAACATAACATTTTATTGAACCAAACTTTTTAAAAATACTGTAAAATACATCTCTAGTGGACCCAAACAAACACTTGCAACAATGCATAAATGTATTCAGAAATACAATATTAACATTAGTGGCAGTTTGAAGAACTTAATTGTATTCTGCAGGTTACACATTTATCCTTTTTGGGGGGCCGATAGGCATTCAAATATTTTGTACAATAGTTGTTCATTCATCTCTTCGTAATATATACATCGATTGTTATTTCTCCTTGCTTGATCAGCGCCACCTGCTGGTCCGATGTTTGGAAACGTGAACTCCTCGGTGAAGGAGGACCATGCAGTCATAAGCTGGGAATACTTGGGGCCCGATGGGAATGTTTATGTGGAATATGTTGTTGATAACAGTAAGATTTTCCTAAAAAATTTCTCTACGTTTCTATATAGAAACAGCGCTAAAATTAAGTTTCAAAGATTCAGTTGATTACTGTTTTTGTAGCTAAAGTATGTTGTCTAATTTTAGATTAATTTTTATCATATGGGTCAAAGATGAAAAGAGGTTTCCATTATAAAAGTAAAAGTGTAATACAGCTTTATTTATTTAATTATTTACATTTTTAGAGTTTAATTTTTACCTTGATTCACCAAATGAAGAGTTCAGATGCAAAAACCTCTAAGTGCCATCAGAAATTCATTGCAAAATTAACATTATTCTCATCCCCCTTTGTTTATGTTGATATTTCACTTTGTAGACCAGGAAAAGGACTTACTCTTTGCTATAAAAGTGAAATTACTGAACATACACACAGGACCCTGATAAAAATGCTCATTTTAGAGAAATATTTCAGACGGAATTTAGAGGTTTTTGCATCTAAACTCTTCAATTATAGATTTTTGAACCCAACTAAAATGAATTTTATGCTAAAGTAAATCTTAAACTCACTTAATTTTAATTTGTTGGAAATGTCATTATGTTTTACTAAAACTTAACTATAAATCTTTTTCTATAAAGGTATGCCAAAATAGTTTTTGTAAGTATAATTTGATGTGAATCACATCTTTGACCGATATGTAATGAAAATATCTGTATCACATTTGATTATTTTTTTTAAAGATTGACTTAATTAACTAATTAAACATTTTTATATTTTGCCTGGGCGATTGGTTTTTGCCATAATCTCTCCCCTGCCGTCGGCCCTTTTCTCCAGGTAAAGAACCCTGGAAAACCGAGTTTGTAAATGGCACTCGGACATTTCAGATTAGAGGACTAAAGCCGGGGATGTCCTATAGGGTCCGATTGGTAGCCAAAGACCATTCAGACGCAACCATCCACAGTACACAAGAGATGTTGATAACAGTTCCAGGTGAGGAGAGTGCCAGCGTCCAACTCACCTCTCAATCATCTGTCAAGCCCCACCCAGACTGTAGTTATAGTTTGGTGTTATTAACAAACGACGCATGGTTGGACTCCAGATGGGTTTATGGAATTGTAGTTGCATGCAAGACATCCATTGTCCATCATGATCTTGCATTGATTTTAATGCACTTCCCTAAATCCATATAGGTTTTTTTTTTACTTATTCATTTGGTTTGTCTTATTTATTTAGTTTATTTGTGTCATTTAAATAATGTTGATCTTGGCATTCAAGTCATTTATATTTTGGTGGTGATTCGATTTTTTATTTGTGTGCGTATTGTTATTGTTTTTTATGACATCTGCATGAAACTGAAAGAAAAGTCCAAAGTAGGGAGTTATTAACAAATTATGCATGGTTGAACTTGGCGGGATCATGGAAATAAAGATGCATGACAGAAATATGAGTACACTTTTGGTTATTGTCATAAAAATGCATCTTTAATTTTAAGTCTATTTACTGTTCATTCTGTTTGTTTTTATTTTGACATACGCATGGCAGCTATTTTTTTATTTTTTTTAAGTTTGAATTGGTTAATTTTGTCTTTTGTGTGTGTATGTGTGTGTGCAGCCATGACCAACAGGCAGGCTGAAATAGCCACACAAGGTTGGTTTATCGGTCTGATGTGTGCCATCGCTTTGCTGATCCTGGTGCTCCTCATCGTCTGCTTTATAAAGAGGAACAAAGGAGGCAAATATCCAGGTATGTGAAGGTGCTATCTGATGTGAGAGGTTCTATTTAAGTAGTTAAACTTCATGTAACGATTTACTGATGCTGTCGCAAATTAAAATGTTTTTTTTTTTTTCATTAAAAAATCTGTTCAAACAGAACTGATGTTTTTAAAATGTTTGTTAAGTGATCAAACTAAAAACATTTAATAGAGGAAAAATTTGGTGAAAAATAAAATCTTAGGCTATGTTTATAATAAGTGCGTTTTGTTTTAGCATAGCATTAAAAAACAAATCTTTGTCCATACTACTAATATATATTTAGAAAAGATATCACATTCACACAATATGAATAAATATGCACACCTTAACCTAGAAGTTGCTGTAAAATTATAGCAGTATACATTTGGTATAAACATATTTTAAACTGAGTTGAGAGCAGGAAAAATTTGGCAGCAAATCCTTTAAAAGTTAGATGTATTAGAATAAAACAAAATAGACATATAGATTACTTGATAAATTGTATGTTTATCAGAGAAGATGGGGAAATTATTTGGCATTTTTGGAGGAAGAATAAGGTCACTAGTGAGACTAACAGTAAAAATGTAATTATCTTATTTGATTTGTTTATGTATTATTATTATTATTATTATTATTATTGCGCTATTATTTTTTACATTTTTTATTTTTTTACTAGTATGTTTTTCTGTTTGTGTGCTTTTTCATTTATTGAGTTTATATTATTTATGTATATTTACTGGATTTATGATAGCAACAACTGTAACTGCCGCTGTTGGGGAAGGGAGGGGAAAGGGGTTTTAAAAGGATGTAAAAGTGTGTAAACCGATGGTACTGTTAAATTATTGAAGAAAAAAAATAATCATAAAAAACAATAAAACTAAATAAATATCTGAAATTATAAGCAACTTTGCATTTCTCAAAGTCTGTTTTAGAGGGAAAGTGTGAATGTCTACGGTAGAAACTGAACTAACCCTTAAAATTTCTGTACAAATATTGAATTTGTTGGTTTAACAATGTAACTTTTTGTGATTTTTCCAAAAATACAGTAAAAGAGAAAGAAGATGCCCATCAAGACCCAGAGATTCAGCCTATGAAAGAGGATGATGGGACATTTGGGGAGTACAGGTGAGGAAATGTACTTGCTGAACTGCATTATTTAAATCACATTGATCATAATTGATAAGAAACAAATGCTTATACTTGCACCAAAGGTAATTGTTGTTGTGGTTTCACGACTCATTAAAAGCAAACTTGCTTCTCTTGCTCAGGGAATCAGATCGTAATTTTTTCATTCCTCTGAGATGAGATTAAACAGCTTTGGCACTTCCACAAACAAACAGCTCAAGGAAAGCAGGAACAAACTTTTTTTTTTAATACGTCATAACATTTCTTAACCAAAGCTGTGTTTTATATGACTGTAAATCAAAACAAAGACATTTGATGTTGGATTCATTGCTGTGATTTGTATTGTTTTGTGTCATCATTAATATTTATTGTCACTAGTTATATTTATTACCATTAATATTTCGTATTTATTGTTTTGCATTTGTGTGTGTTTTTCATAATATGTCTGGTCATTGTCATAATTAATGCCGTGTCAGTGCAGTACATGAAATTGGAACTGGGGTAAAGTGATTTAAGACTTAAATTAAATTCTGTATTAAATATTACTGGATATAAGTTAAGGCTTTATTTAAGAATTATGTATGAATGGCTTTTTATTGTGTTTGTGATACAAAGAATTGCTATGTGTTATGCTAAGACAAGGAATAAATACAATACTGTATGTTGTCTTACATGATTATGACTATATAGTCTTGGGAAATGTAATATTTATATACAGATATAGTCAAAACGCCCATTCTTGTCTCAGGACAAATTTGATTTGAGTTCCATCATAAGTGTCATTTAATTACTTGGTGTGCGTTTCCCAAACAACAACAAAACTCATGGCTGAATTATCATAGTATGATGCATCATTTGGGAAATGAATGATAAAGCGATTAAATCATAGTTTCTCCGATGCAGATCTATTGTTTGAACCTCCTTAGTTATAATGTAAAACATCCATAATGACGCTCTAAGCGAGGCGGAGTAACACCCTTAGAGAAAATGACCATAATTTTTTGTATAAAATTATATTGTTTTACACACACACACTTAAAAAAAAATCCAATATTAGTTTTGGGTCACACTTTACAATAAGGTTCATTAGTTAATGTTAATTAATGCATTTACTAACATGAACAAACAATGAACAATACATCTACTACTGTATTTGTTCATGCTATTTAACGTTAGTTAATGAAAATACAGTAGTTCATTGTTAGTTCATGTTAACTCATGGTGCATTAACTAATGTTAACAAGCATGGACTTGGATGTTAATAATGCATTAGTAAATGTTCAGTTATGATTAATAAATGCTGTACATGTGTTGTTCATGATTAGTTCATGTTAGTAAATGCATTAACTAATGAACCTTATTGTAAAGTGTTACCTAGTTTTGGTAAAAACATGCACTCATTTTCTATATCTATATTGTTTTCACTTAGCTAACACTTTATTAAAAAAAGTTATAATAACAACAACAACAACAACAACAATAATAATAATAATAATAATAATAATAATTATTATTATTATTAATATTATTATTATTATTATTAAGGAGGATAATGTTTATTTATTTTTTTATTTTGTTTTTTTAATTTTTGAAAAGTCTACTTTTACGACTGTGACACAAACCACCGCAGAAATGTTCTAACCACTTGGCCCATGTCATATAGCCTACAGTAGGGAACAGACATGTTTCTTAATAAATAACTTACTTAAAATTAAAAGCATTAATGTATGCTATATGTTTTGTTTTCACAAATAAATTCCGCTTTTAAATGATAGGTCACCTATAGTTTGTCAATATTGCTAAAAGTGAACTGTAAAATACTTTGAAAGCAAATTACACCTAAGGGAGATGACTTTAATGCTTTTTATTAATCATTCCAAGTTTAAATGTTGTAAAGTTCGAAAGGAATAGGGCATAAGGGGATAACTGGGAATAGAACATAGCCAAGAATTATGCTTTTAAATATAGCTCTAGAGCTGTAATTGCAAGCATACAAGTTTGCGAATGTTGGTTGGACTAACTATGTTTGTAACGACAGAACTTGTAACCTTAGTTGGCTAACGATGGTTTTGGGAAACGCACCCCTGGTCTGTTAATATGATGTCAGTGAATTACAGACTTTTTTGCTGCTTTTTGATCACTGACACTGCTGTTTTTAGTGTTTTATGCACTGAAAGGAAAGATCCAATTACTCATTTTCATATTCATCTATTTACACATTCATCATGTTAAATGTCTTGTATGTATGTAACATACAGTACAAGCCATAGGTTGCTGGCTGCATTTCACATTATAGCCATTGGTGCCTCTTATAACACTGGTTTAAAATTAGAGAACAGTTCATAAATGCTTAATCTTTAATTGCGGCACGGTGGCTCAGTGGTTAGCCCTGTCGATTTTGTATGACAATTCACCAAGCCCCGCGGCTGGCTGACTGAAATTTAAAGCCTGTGTGCATATATTCTATTGTTTTGTTGTTAATGCAATAAAAAATGTGCTCTCTAATTTTCTTCTCAGTTATTAGCCCCTTTACTTTATATAAACAAATCCTAATTATTTAATCGGTCACACTTTATTTTGATGGTCCGTTTGTTGAATTTAGGTTACATTGCATCTGCATGCCAACTAATTCTCATTGGATTATAAGTAGAGTTTTAGGTTAGGGTTAGTGTGAGTTGACATGTACTTGCAAAGTTTTTATAGTCAGTTAAATGTCTGTTTACCAACAGACATTAAGCAAACAGTCTACTAATACTCAAAATAAAGTGTTACCCTTTAATTATTCATTCAAAAAAGTCAATAAATGTCAAATCATTGCAAATGACAGCAGCCATTAGCCATGTTTGCTTGTTTATTTTGTTGCCTTTTATTAACATTACCCATGTTCTACTCACAAAGTCCATCATTTGTGATGTATGATGTCACTGCATTCGTTTGTCTTTATTGTAAAGTGATAACCTCATTGTCAAACATGTCAGTCTGTCTCATTTGTTCCTCCTGTGTGTGTTTTGATTTTTTGGGGGTTCAGGTCTTTAGAAAGGTAAGAGGGTGCTTTGCAAGTCTCGCATGCCTGAAATCTCCCGTAATCCATGTAGATCGTATTCAAACAAAGAGCTGTAAATATTTACACCGAAAAGAAAACTGCATAGCTAATTGTGTTTATGGATTGCTTGTTGTGATTTGACTTTGTTTATAATATTAACATACTGCATTTGTTTACATCTCCTCAATGATGATTTTATTATTTACTCTCCGATTTTGAGACAAGTGGTTCATGCATTATGATGAATGTCCCCCAAATGAATACCTTTTTCCGAATGCACGCTATGACCAACTTCTGCCTCCCGGATGTAGACAAAAGATACATATAAGGACTGTCGGCACTAAAGCGCATGTTGGAAATGGACCATCTCCACTATGTTTAGCTGGTTTAAACCTGTGCTGTTGTAATATCCTCCCCCTTCCCCTTGTCTCTACTCTTTACACCAGTGATACGGAGGATCACAAGCCCCTAAAGGGCAGCCGGACACCATCCAATGGCACGGTCAAGAAGGACGACAGTGACGACAGCCTGGTGGATTACGGCGAGGGAGGAGACGGCCAGTTTAATGAGGATGGGTCGTTCATTGGCCAGTACAGCGGGAAGAAGGAAAAAGACACTGCGGAGGGAAACGAGAGTTCGGAGGCTCCTTCTCCAGTCAACGCCATGAACTCCTTTGTGTAACCTTTCATGACCTCCTTTGGCCCATACAACGCCCAACCCCATGTTACATCATCGTACGGAGAACAGTCTCTATTGCACTGTGACCTCTTGACATCACACAGCAAATGAAATCTAAATGAACGCCCATCAGAAATGATGAACCACGAGAAGAGGGCCAGTACTAGCTTTACCGGTCGCAGAGATGTAGAGTAAGAAGCGTATTATCTTTTGGCAAGCATACATATATATATCAATATATGTGTAGAGGAATATATAAATTGACATATATGAGAAACTATTTTATTAACATAGCCCCATTTGCGTCGGATGGCATTATATCACACCATCTCGTCTCCTGGAAACACATGGAATCAGTTATTGACATCTTGTACTTGAAACAGCAGAAGGTGAGGTCACATCAAGCGTTTTTTTTTTTTTTTTTTTTTTTTTTTTTAATAAAGCAGGTGAAATTCAATTGGAATAGATTTCTTTTTTTTTTTTTTTTTTTTTTGAAAAGGTGAAATATTTCCACACAAACATTTTGCTTCTCATACTGACCGACCCAAAGTTAGTTCTTAAAACTGTTCAAGATCCATTAAGAATCTGTGTGATACTTCATTTTAAGGCGAAAGATTTCCTTAAACAGATTTATGAGTTATTTTTTATTAACAAATTACTGGCAATGTTCAAATTTAAATCCCTGAGATTTGGGATTCTGTGAGAGAAACAAAGATTTGACTATGTTTTCCACCAATTCATCACACAGATCATCTGAAACCGGCTTGATTTGAATGTGATTCCTGTGAATGGTGCTTCATTTCTCACTACGCTATAAACTAGAGCAGCCGATTCGAATGTTATCACTTGATTGATCGGGTGTTATCAGTGGTTATCAGCTGATAGAAATTGGCTAGTAGGAGCTTTCTGTGCCTACTGGTGGGCTCAGAATGCTGTTATCATCTATCCACATTGTTAATCAGCTATGGGCCATTTCAATGTAGTCAATGAACATTTCCTGCTTGTCATCAAACTATTTTATAAATGTAATGAGACAGTTAAATCATAATTTAATGTTAAACCAGCTATCATCATGTTAACATGTGGCTCCTTTTGGATTCTTGTAAGCTGTAGAAATTAAAACAGTGAAAGAGGAAATACGTTGTGACCATTGTTTTTGTTTACATCTTTAAAAATGGTCTATAGATCGCATACGGCTGCGGAAGAGAGTTAACGTGAATTTTTCTGTATTACTATAGCTGATTAAATATGAGAATTATTTATATTATTCATTAAATTTCCCATTAATTGTGTTTTAATAATGTCTACTCCAATCCTAAACCCAACCATCACAGTAAAGCAAAAACAGTTCTGGATCTGGAGTCTTCTCTAGTAGTATGCCTGATTCACCAGGAGAATTATCTATATTATTTTTTAAATTTCCCATCAATTGTATTTTATTAACATCTACCTCTACCCCAACCCTAAACCCAACCGTCACAGTGATGTATAAACAGATCTGGAGTCTTTTCTATTAGTATAGCTGATTAACCAGAGGAAATATTTTTATTATTTATTAAATTTCTCATTAATTGTATTTTATTAACGTCTACCCCTTCCCTAACCCTCAACCCAATCATCACAGTAATGTAAAAACAGATCTGAATTTGGAGTCTTCTCTATTTGTATAGCTTATTAACCATGTGGATGAATGATAACAGCATTTTGATCCTACTAGTAGGCATAGAAGGCCCCTACTGGCCCATATCTCTCAGCTGATAACCACTGTTCAATCGAGTAATACTATTCGAAGCGAGTGACTAAACCTTTTTTGGGTGCAAAATCTTGCTTATGTGACCGCACCTTTATCCAGCTTTGTGGAGACCGTGGACCTTTTCGGATTATATAATAACTGACTTTCGATTCACAGCTGAATGCGTTACGTTCTGTCCTCAGTGTTCAAAACGGTATTATGCACATTTCAGGCACCATTGTCTTTGTGGGCATTGTTGCGGAGTATGTAATGCGTGTAAAACCTGTTCCTAGCCGTCGTTTGGATCTACAAAAATCACAGAATTTAAAAACTGGTCATCAGGGATGTGAGGTAGCATGTTTTTGACACACACGCACTCTTTTCAGACACTCAAATGTGGTTTTGTCCTCTTTTTTCCCCCAAGTTCTCATGTGGTTTATTTTGCACCCTGTATTTATTTATGACAAACCTCTTTTGAAGGATGTCAGCGATGGACTGAAGGAGTTACGGTTCACTTTACTGTACTGAAAGCACCCAAATCAGCCATGTAGCCACTCATCGCCCTTCGTTTGGGCACCAGAATTCACACCACAATGGAATGGGATGCAATGAAGGCCCCTCAGCACGGTTCCTTAGTGCCTTGGTAGAGAACATTATTCTAAAAATTAATCTTCTGATCATTTGAGTCCAAGCGCAGCCCGCTTATTATGCTCAACACCGCAGATTGAAAACTGCAGGACTCAAGCAAATGATGTCAGTCACCAGAGAAATGACCTTAAATGGGAGGTGAGGGGCATTTCATTCCCATCATCGACAGCTAAAAATACTGCCACTTTTCTGTAATGAGTGAACTGCTGTTGATCTGACACATCGACGGCGACTCATAACGGTGATGGAAACATCCAACTGCGGAGTTTGCAGTAGCCTGTCCATGGAAAAATCTCAACGTATGCGACATCGAAAATATACACATTCTCACAAGATGTAACCATTTTTTTAAAGGTCCCGTTATTGCATGTTATGAAGTATTACGAGCTGTGGAGTGTGCTGAAATCAGGGCTTCACTAATAATACGGTCGGCAGTGGTGCTGTCATCAAATATGGCCGGAGTGTGTGCGGTTTATGCAGGCATGCATGAATATATGTGTGCATTTGAATGTGCGTTTGAGGATGTCTGTTCAATGTGGGCCTCTTTTTTTGGGCCCTAGATTTTCATGATTTTGCTTGTCATAACTTGCATCAAGTTTTTTTTTTTTTTTTTGTGGGGGGGTGTCTGCTTTCAATGTGTAGAAATGAGATTTGCTTTGTAAATATCCAGCCGGAATTATTTTAGACAATTGAACAGATCCAGAGGAGGCCCAAATCACTCGAAAGACTCTAAATCCCAGAATGCACCAGAGTGGATTTTATTTTAGCAGTTTGTGTCTATTGAGTATGTAAGGTAGCACTGCTGAGAACCGCACCTGAATTCACACACACTCCCATCAGCTCTTCTTCTTTTAATGGCACTGTTGTTTTCTTTTCTCTTTGGCCAGCTAGTTTATGACATGTTTTCTGTAGGAGAAAATGAGAGCAGATATGGGCACATCCCCAAAGAACGAGGCCGGATTGCACTGCTGTGTGTGCAGAATCTTTTGATGCTTTTCTGTCAGAGGGAGCAAAGGTGGATGAAACGTAGTGTGTGAAATAATATTCTGGTTAATGTTAAAGCTACATGAAAATAAAGCATGAAAGGCTGTGAAATGGTTTACTCTATAATATAATCGCAAAAAAAAAAAATATTTTGTATATAAAAGAATTAAAATAAATGTTGGTTTCCGGATTTCACTACCATATGTCTGGTTTTGATTTTATTCCTTGTGCATAATTGTTTTAATGAAAGAATATGAATTGTTTACAATTGTCCAATAATATTCAATGCATCTGGAAAGTATTCATAGCGCTTTATATTTTCCACATTTTTTTTATGTTACAGGCTTATTTCAAAATGGATTTTTTATATATAAATATATATATATATATATATATATATATATATATATATATATATATATAAATTTGCAACTATTTCAAAAAAAATCTTTTTTTCACATCGTCATTATGTGGTATTTTGTGAAGAATTTTGAAGAAACAAGTGAATTTTATCCATTTTAGAATAAGGCTGTAACATAAAACAATGTGGAAAAGGTGAAGCGCTATGAATACTTTCCAGACGCACAATTTGTTTTTTATAACTGTTGATGTGCAATATTAAATATTACATTATAGAAACCTTAGTTTAATAGTTTAAACAGCTTTAGACTTTTCCACATATCTTAGACTTTTGAGATTTATTTTGCTGGTGGCTTAGTTAATGACCCGCTGCAGCATAAAAGTTTACCTGAAAGTTAAAGTTCATTCAAGTTAAACGAAACTATTTGTTTCAAATTCTTTGATCTCAAGTTAAATTATTTTTTCCCCTAATTAATTATAGTACACTCTCAGAAATAAAAGTACGCAAGCTGTTACTGGTGTAGTACCTTTTCAAAAGGTACACATTTGTACTTGAAGGATCCATATTTATACCATTAGTACCTAAAAATTTTAATAGGACTTTGTGAAGTTTATTCATAAACTAATTTCGAGAGGATCACGTGCTTCTTATTGCTTGCAGCCGGCCCCGCATTATTCAATTTATGATTCACCAATCAGACGACTCCTAAGCCACTATAAATACCCTAAGTTCCATATAACAGCCATCTTCGTTTTGAAGAATCCCCCCTTCCACTGCTACTTCTCCTCAGTTGGGTGGCACTGTGGCCCAGTGGTTAGCACTGTTACCTCACAGCAAGAACGTCACTGGTTATAGTCCTTACCAAGCCAGCCAACGTTTCCGTGCGGAGTTTACATGTACTCCTCGTGCTCATGTGAGTTTCCCCCGAGTTCTCCGGTTTCCTCCCACCGTTAAATAACATGCAGCCTAAGTTAATTGACTAATCCAAATCGGCACCATAAACATGCACCTATAAGTAGTTATCTCTAAAGAGCGATCACTTTCTGTTCATTAGCTACTACAGCAAGGGAGTTCTCGAGATCTACCTGAGCTTAAACCTCCCTCTCGCCTTGCAAAGAGGGTGGGAGCCCCGGGCTCGAGGATCTTGAGCTCAGGTTTCTCTTCCGGGACAGCATGCCAAACAAGCTTTATAAACAATCATCAGCTAAGAGTGAACTCTCAATGTACTTTTTAGGTACTAATATGTACCCTTGAAGTAATATGGACCTTTTAGAAAAGGTACCACCCCAGTGATAGGTCACATAGCCTACCTTTATTTCTGAGGGTGTATTTTCTTATAAATATTATACAATTATATATTCAATTGACATTCATTTCTGACATTCACAAGAATGTGCTTTAAATATGGCTTTAGCTGGGAAACAAACAGTCAGAATGCCAAAATACAGATTCTGAATGAATTATGGGGGTTGAGTTTTTACCTCACAGTAATTTAGCCTCTTTATCTAATTTAATTGATTCTCTCCGTTTGGAATTTGTATGTAATACAGATTTTTTAAATTGTGTAATATTTATTATAACAACATATAATACATCTTGGGGTGTGCTGAAGTTCTAAGTTTCCTTATATAGGCCTACTGTGCTGCATCTAAACAACAAATAATCTATTTCTTTCCCTCCCCCTACCAGTGCAAGAATTTAATCCAGTGGATTTGAACAGATGTGCGCGGATAAGCCTCTCAATACCTTAAATCGCCAAATTATCTTGCTCCAAACGCATCGAAATCATTCACAAATGCTTGAAATCACCTTGACAGCTTTGCGACCCTCTGCAGAAGCACATGGACTCGGTCAGCATCCCTCTGTGCTTCAGCATCCAGACATGCGCAGCTCCGCGCTCCTCCAATAGCAGGCCGTGTGTGTGTGCGTCTCGCGCCGGGCTGCGGGACGGGGCGCTGCTTGGCTGGTGGATTTAACGCGTTTTTCTGGTGAGTTTGCTGCTGTTGTGGTTATATATGGTGGTTTGGAGGGTTTAAGTGAAAGTAGGATGCGTTTAAGACGTTGGTTAGTTTATTCTGCATGGTGAAGTCAGGATGGAGGTGTTCCGTGCAGTTTTGGGAATACCGCAATGCAGAAGAGGGAGGATGAGTCCGGTCATAGTTGATGTCATCCGTTATGGAAAATATTAATAAATAGAATGCATTTTACAAATACGCTCTTAGTAAGAATTATTATTATGATCACATTTAAAACAAATAACATCTTTAAATCATGTTTATATTTAGCCTAATAAGTTGCAATTTACTGATTGATTTGCGCATTCTTATGCTGCCACAGCTTGTTTTAGGATGTAATAAGGTGACATTTAATTGGCCAAAGTTTTAAACGGGACAGAAGTTTTCCTAGCAACAAAAATGATAGAAATTATGTCATGACAGTATTACATCAAAGGGCGGCGCTAGTCTTCATCAGTGACGCAGGACATGAATGTATTAAAGCAATAGTTTAACTATAAGTATAAAAAATGTGATGTTAATTTACTTATCAGCAAGCCTTCAAAGATATAGGTGTTTTTGTTCTACAGTAGAACATTAACTTATTAAATGCATACCTCAGACATTTATCGACCTATTGTTCACCCAATGTTCCTTAATCTATTCAGTGTAAATAATACATTGTGAACAGTTAATCACTTGAGAATTAAAGGAGATTTTTAAACTAAAGTCATGTCTCTAGGGGATTTCTGTAAAGTTATCCAGGTAGCAAAAAAATTTGGGCCAGATTTGGCATTCATCAAGCACGGGCATACAACATGTGGGCCAAACATGGCCCTGGTTTGGCAGAGGTGGCACGGTCTTTAAGTCAGCACACAATACTTGGGCCAAATGTAAATTCCACTATTTGGTCCAGATGTTAATAATTGATAGGTGGGCCATGTAAGTTTCGCCTATCTTGACCCCCATTTAAAGTACATTTATATTCTTTATGAATAAAGAAAAAACTTCTACCAATCAGATTGCTTTTAAGAAAATTATGGGTTTATCAATTTCATTTCAGTTGTGATACATTAACAAATCTGCTCTAGTTCTGGCCCAGTTATGGGTTATTAATTTGGCTGAGACTTGGCCCAGATACAGTCCATATTTGGCCATTGTCTGGCATCCAGACTTGGTCCAGTCGTGTACTGTAATTCACTGCAGCATGTGGGCCAAGCAAAAGCTGACTGTGTGGACCAGAGCTGGGCCAGAGAAAGTTTGCTATGTGGCTAGTCAACAAGCTACTTACACTTTCAGAGATACATATACAGGCAAAACTAAACTAATATTGGTCACTCCAATACATTAAAACCTTATGAAGTGTATTGGTACGTCTGGGCAAAAAAAAAGTACACTCTTTACTACGTTACTATCTTAAAAAACAATATGTTTCAGCTTGTATTTATAAATAACCAAAGACCACAGTTTAGGTCATCTGAAGTGAGTAAAATAACAGTAATTTACATGTTTGATGTGCACTATCCCTTTAAATTCTTCACGATCACATCTAAATTCTGTAAGTATGCAATGCAATCTGCCAGTAAGCAAATTTGTGTTTCACCACATATGAATGAGATGCTTGATTTTTTTTTTCTGCCACTCCCTCAGTATGAGCTTACAGTAGACATGTCGTGACCTAAATCCGAGTGTGCAGGACGACAGCAGACTGCAGATCAGAGGATGCAATGAGATTATATGAGAGATTGCTGAAAAATTCAGTGGATAAGTGGACCACATGTGCAGCAAAACAGTTTTCACAATGACATGGAAGGCCAAACATGAGGATAAACATGCTTTAGGAGTAAAATAGCATTCACACTATAAAGAAAACAGAGCAAAATGTCTTTGCTCACGCTCTGCTAGGGTTAATGTGTAAAAGTGCATTGGCAGCAGATTGGAGATGCTGCATGTGTTAGCAAGAAGACTTCATTCTCAAACTTACTATTGCATTTAACACACCAGACTCAGAAGTAATATTCCTTTATGTTCTGCATCTGCACATGACTGAACTGCTGTGGACATGCATGCGTGCAAACAGTATTGTGTCAATGATGAATCGCTGATTCTCTGTAAACATTAGTAGGATGTGATCAATTGTTAATGCTGCTCTTTCAGACACACTCTGCTACATCAGAGCAGTAAAATGCAGCTTTCAGCTCTCCCTTTTCCCTATTTTTCTTGTTCTCAGGTCTGGTTTTTGGACTGCTGGATCAAGATGGCGACCCCAGGCCCAGCCATGCTATTGTCTCTTTTCTCCTGCTTCTTCCTATTAGCAGGTAATGAGCTTAATGCATGTGCTTACATTAATTTAAGGGTCAAATATGAATATTACAATTTCCGGGGGTCGGTCGGTTGGTCTGTCTGTCTGTCTGTCTGTCTGTCTGTCTGTC